GCAGGGCCACGAGACGGGGCCGCCTGTCTCCCAGCCCTCCATCTCCAGGCAGATGGAAGACATCAGCTCCCCGCTGCATCCCTCCACGATAATCTGTCTCGCCCGCTTCCTTTCGGGGACACCCCTTCTCACGGCCAGCTAATCCCCAAGTGCTCGCCTGGCTCCTTCCAGAACCCGGCCGTCACCAGAGAGCCCCCATCGTGTGTCTTTTCCCGGCAAGCATCTCCCCAAAGGCCATCTCTCCCTCCCCATGCAGGATGCCCTAAAAAAAGACCCCTCTCCCCCAACTCCCATGGAAGAATGTCTGGGCACTAAGTCCCCACCATCGCTAGGGGAACAGGAACCCTCTCGGGAGTTTGATCTGACGCAGACCCCATATCCAAACACACGGGAAGGGACACTATCCCAGGGACCCCGTTGGAGCTGAGCAGGGAGGTACCTTTGGAATGGGGCAGGAAGAGCCTGGGAGGACTCTGCCTTTGGCTTCCCCAGCCCTCTGCAGTGCGTGGCAGCTGCCCCAGAGGCTGCACAGAAGATGAGAGAATTCCTCCTAAGCACTGCCTCACCCTGGGAAATTTCCCCATATAAAATATGTTAAGGGCAGAATAATAAACATAAATAGGGAGCAGGGGAAAGAATGTCCTGGCAGCAGCTGCAGTAGGTGGTGTTTTGGGGTTTCTTCCCTCCTCTGAGGGAATCATCCCACTTAGCCTGCAGCCATCCTTCAAGAAAAGGACCTGCAAGAATTGGTACCCACAGAGGAGATCACAGCTGATTTCCCAGCAGGATGGATGCACAAGGAAAAGCCTCCTATGTGGGGAGAGCTCAGGCTTGGGTGGATCCCACAGAAGGATGCTGCGAGCGGGCTGAGTGCCCTTTCCTCTCAGAGAGACGCTGCTCCAGGCAGCAGCTGGAATTTGCCAAGCACAGAGCTGTCACCATGGGCCAGGGATTTCTGCAGAGGCTACGTTCCTCATTAGGGAAAGCCGGGCAAAAACTGCAGGAGACGGTCTATGGGATATGCTGAGCTTAACTGTCTGCATGTCTGCTGCTTAAGCTCTGAGGTTAAGGATTTAGTTCCACGTATCAGTTTGCTCAGACATAAAGCATCGCTTCACATGTTAATCTCAAGTATGCTGCATTGTCTTGCCTGCTTCCTCTCGTGCCCTCTCCCCACGACCTCTTCCCCAGGGAAACCCTGGAAAGTTATTAGCAAATATTCTGTGAAATATTTAATATCCAAACAGCAGGATCTATGCATCCCATGAGGGACTCATAGCCCTTATGGTCAGGACAAAATCAACAAGGATTGTTTGCAGACCCCCACATCCTACTGGGAGATGCTTTGAGGCTGGAGTTGTTGCCAAGCAAAAACCTGGCAGTAAAGAGTCTTTAGATGAGTTACAAACCGGGCTACCTGGGACTGCGGTATTCCAGCTTGGGATGGACTCTGCCTCCGCCATGCCCACAGCCTTTGCACAGAAACAAAACAGCCTGTACAAGTGGCATTCAAAAGCCTATTTTTCAGCCTTACATTAGTAGAAGCCACCTTCCTCTTCTGTTCTCAAAGGGATTTGCGTTGAGGAAGTCTGCGCTCCTCCTGTCTGCAGGAAAGGCATGACAGACACGTCACTTGGCTTATGATTTGTTTATAAAATCTATGAAAGTATTTGTTTATGTGTTTATTGGGGTTGGGGGTCTTTCAAAGGTTGGGGAAGGTTTTCTAAAGCAAGACTGCAGAGCTGCTAAGTGGCATACTTTCCCTAAAAACGCATAAAAGCATACACCCTTTTTCTACTTGAAATGCTTCAGCCTGCTACTGGGATGAGCTTTGAAAGTACTCAAAGCCACACTTAAACTGTAAAAATTTATCCGCTGATGGCAGGGCAGAACACTGACTTTCCCACCCCTTAGCCCAGCTCGGGTCGATCAGCACCCCACAGCCCTGCACAAACCTTCCCTGGCACCAGGATCCCACCAGGGCAGCCCCTTGAGCAGAGCCCACCCGCCCCCATGCCCCCCGTGTCTCACGCAGACCCAGGAATAAATTCAGCCAGGCAGCAAGCAATGGCCGGGCAGTGAGGCCGTGGGGTGCCCTGTCCCTGTGACACAGAGGCAATACCCAACCGTGGGAGCGAGGTCCCAGGCTCGCTTATCACTGTGACTGGGACACAGTTTGTTCACCATCCTGCTTAGCAAAGTGGCATAAAAATCACCTCTGAGCACAGAAAGCTCCTCCTGGAAACGGACTGCACTCAGATAGACTGGAAAGACGGACATCAGCCGGGCGGGCGGCCGCTCCGCTGCTATGCCGGGGGCAGAGACAGATGAAGCAAGCAGGCTGAGGGCTTGATGGCAATGCCAGCAGGTTCAGGAGGATTCAGAGCAGCAGACAGCGACGTCCACTGGCGCATGGACAACGGCAAGCAAGGAGCGTGCTGCCAGCAGCAGTTGATTCTGCTTTCCCACAGCAGCACACAGGCTCAGGCCCCTCAAGTTTTACTAAGTGGGACAGGGCTGTTTACTTAAAGGTTGAGACTGAATTTAAATTTGACGTATCATGTTATCTACGTTACCTGGAGTAATGGAGTACGAGGGGACCCAGGGCTCACCTTTTCCATGGGATATACGGATTCCACAGTGGGGAGCATGGGGCAGATCCATCTGCCAGGAATAACCAGTTAAAGCATGGAATAGCTCAGCACTGTGGTCTTCAGCTCCTCACACAGGGGCAATGCAGGGCCAAGGTAAGGAGCCTTCCCAGCACAACAGGGAGGGGACGTGGAAGGACAAGGCACTACCAGCTTAGGAAGCTGATCAACAGCCCGTCTCACCGACATCACAGAGAATGTCTGACACAAAATACGGATTTTCACATTCTCATTTTAATGATTAAAGACCAAATTAACACCACTGGAGCAGTAAGGGTGAAAAGACCATTTCCCAAACACACTGCAGATGTTCTGCGAAAAAAAATCAACCTTCTTTTGGAGAAAAACACGGTATTTCAACATTTAAACTAGTTGCTTGTAATTCTTAAACAGGAAGATAAAGTCTTCACGAACCTCAACTTTTTCACCTTTCACCATTTTCTAGAAAAGGACAAAGGAACAGCTACTGGATGAACAGATATAAACAGGATTGCCTGAGACCTTTCTCAGCTTTCATACAAAGTTGCGGGCGATGGCAAATACTTTGGAGAACTCTCCTTTCTGTCGCAGGATATAGGGTATTGGTGTTTTTATTCTAGTCCCTACTGGATTTCCGTTGTCTTCTATGAGTACCACATTGTTGGAATCAAATCTAGGCGTCATGGTGGGGCCAGGCATCTTGTGCCCTACAATTAAAGCCTTCTTCTTTTCTCCTTTGATAGCCAGAAGGATCTTATCTCCTACTTTGCCAACTCCAGTCTTGTTATACACGTGGATACATTTTGGTGGCCGGTGGTAGGGCGTGTTCCCCAAGGCGCTGTTGTCCACCACTCGCACGCGGGTGAGTTTCTGTATTGCTCGGCATGCTCCAGTGATGCTAGAAAAGACAGGAAAGAATGAGGGACAGATCTCCTCAATAATCCTCGGGGAGCAAGGGCAAACCCAGCACAGGATCTTGTCATTACACAAACCGCTCGGAAGGCGCCAGCAACAAATACATACCATATGAGTGACACATTGACTGCATTCAATGTGCTCTTTGAAAGCCAGATGCTACTTTCGGCTTTGCACACTCTTCACTAAACGTCAAACATAAAACAACCGTTCTACTCTGAAACACGACTAAAAGATGGCGTGAATAGTGGCTTGCATTTATCAGGCTTTTTAGCAACTGCAGATGATTCCAATCAACTTCAATTTACAAGAAAAAAAAAAAAAAAAAAGTGCTTGCTTCTCCTACAGACAGCCTAGAGGAAGCTAAGGCTCAAGTCAGTCCCCAGCATTAAGGATTTTTCTGACCGATCTTCTTTTCAGTGAAGTCTACGAGGGTGTCCCATCTTATTCTGCTCTCAGTTAGACTTCTGGGGTCCTGCTGTGGCTGTTCTAAGCAGCCACCAACTAGAATCTAACAAATTATCACCTTCCCCATATGGGGGGAATCCAGAAAGATGCAGTCTCTTCTGTATTTGTTTACTCTGTGGGATTATTAGGAGTAAGAAACAGCAGAAATAAACTGCATGATATTAAGTTGTTAGATCTGACTCTGAATATGCTTGGGAACAGCAGTAATAAATTGAGAAATAATTCAACCTCCCTTACAGGAATGACTATTATTTTATCCAGGAAGCTCAAATTCAAGTGATTTTTTTTGCTTCTCTTCAAAGGACGCCCACAGACCATCGGAAAAGCAGGAAGATCCTTTCTACTGCTGAACAACTGCTTTGGAGTAAGGTACTAGAAATGCACTTGAATGCCAAGCTGCTGTCAGCTGAATTACTCAAATAAACAGCATATAGAATGAACCCATATACAGAGAAAGACAGTAAGATTCAGATACCTCCTAACGATAGCTCCTGGGGCTATCACACAACCTAGCCCTGAGCATTGTCTTAATTCCCTCTCTCCACCACAGTCATGGGAATGACTAATGCTCAGCCTTTACACTGAAGCCCTGACCCTTCAAAGAGTTATACGCTAGAGATTCCCCATATCTGCACCGAGTGTACTGTGGGATTAGGCTCTAAGCTTTGTGCAAGGCATTGTAAAAGATGAAGTCCATAAATTTAAGAAGCTTTAAATGCCTTGAGCCTGGAACAAGGACCTAAAAAAAAATACCAAAATTGACACTGTTAAGGTACAAGGAAATAATTTTTCAGGTTACTTTTTTTCTAAATAACTGAAATTATAAACTCTGGAATAATTTTAAACATGTAATTGTCTCTGTGTTAGCAGGGGCTGGCTGTTGCTTTTCTGGATGTGGCCAACACAGGCACTTCCAACTTCTGCTTGCAGGCCCCTGCATCGCCCTCAAAGGCCTAAAAGCCTCCATACACGCATAGGAAAATGCAGAGTTCAGACCACGTTCAGGCTGCTAGGAACCTCCATGTGTTGTTATGTTTGGGCTCAACCTGTGAAGAGAGAACTGTGAGATTTTTTTATTATATTATCCTTTTTGAATTAGAAATACTGTATCTTGTGCTTGACCTAATCAACAGCATCTCTTTCAATCAGGAAACTCTACCAAGAAAACAAAAGATTTGAAAATTACCTGAAGTGTCGCTGGATCACCGTACTGCTGAGATGGGTGAAGGATAAACCCAATCGCCTATTCAAGAGAGCCATTTGGATTGTGGCAACCCGTCCTGTGTAAGAAACAAGAGAATGATGAATTCTGGAAAACTGAGAGAATTTTTCCTTCCTTTGCCTTATGTGAATTACACACTAGAGCCTCAGCACCTTTTTACACACTGCAACACACAGCATACAGAGTGTCAACAGCATCCGCCAACATGCTACAAAGCGGATCAACAACCCCTGCCTGACAATACAATTCAGATGCGTACCCTACACAGCTGGATTCAGCATCGCTGCACTGCAGCTCCCTGTGCACTAACGCCCTCCTGCACACACTGTGACCCACGGAACAACACGCAGGTTTGAGAATTTCAGATGTGAACAAGCCGAGCTGCACTGGGGAGGACATGCTCCCTCTCAGCATATCCATGGCGTTCAGCAGCCTGTGTTTACAGACCAGGATCACACCTCTGCCAATGTCTGCTGCCCAGATAACACAGCTCCCTGTACCTTTATGGTGCATGCTCAACCCAAACCAAAACACTCCCCCAACTGCAGCAGAGCTGGGGCACAAGGGTAACCTCTGACTGAGCTTACCAAGCCCTCTTCCCTGACGACACCTAAGGCTGTTCCCTAACCTCATTCTCGCAGAGCGATGGGGACCCGCTTGCACATGTGATTGCAAAGGCTCATCCCCACCTGGATCACTTTGCCAGACGTCGGTTAGGGAGCGATGCCCCGGGCAGCTATGCCGGCAGATCCAAGGGAGGGGAGAAATCAACACGGACCAAGAGCCAGTCCTCTTTCAGGCCAGCTCAGATAAAGCTAAGACTTTCCATCTGACTGTGGCTACCTCTGTGTGACACTGCTTGCTTAGACCTTGGCGGTGTAACCAAGACATGCTCCACTTCTCTCCTTTCTAAAGTAAGCATTAAAAATACATCGACCTCTTATCTCCCTTTGCCAGTTCTGATGAGCTTAGTGCCAAACTGCAGCAGTACATGGTAAAGCCATTTTCTTAACTTTTATTTTAAAAACAAAGCTGACCTAACTTCTCTAGGGAGAAAAAAATACCCACAGAGTCTTCCCATAGGCGATGCCACAGCTGTTCTTATAACAACCAAGTAAAGTCCCAGCTAAATCTTTGCTCTCTTTAAAGTTTTCATTTCTCCCCAATGTGTTTGCTCACTGGGGGATGGATGGATGGATGGATGGATTTTTTAGGGTTTGTGGTTGTTCTACAGAGCAAGTGTTACCTGCTAGCAAGACAAGAAGCACTGGAGATGTGCACCACAGCAATTCTGTAGCAGCGTTCCCTGAGCAAAGCACACAAGGTGTGCAAACCGTCTTCCGCAGGTTTGGAAGAGATCAACAACAGCCAAAGCTTACATTTATTTGCTAAACAAAGACACTTTTCTGTATGGTAGAAGATCTCTAAATGAGTTCAAAGCTTGCCTTCAGAGCTTGCCTGCACTGTTGCCTCTCTGAAATGAGATTCCAAGGCAGCGGTTTTTCCCACAGCTCCTTAACTGGCTGTGCGACCCTAACAAAAACAAGGCCCTGCGGTATTTCCAGTGCTGCTGGCAATCCAGGTCCAATTACCTGCACCTTGCCGCTGCTGCTGCTAGGATTTCTAAGCAAGTTCAACTCCATTGCCGTGCTGTAAGCCCACACCTCGTGCTGGCAGGGAGGAGAGCCCGTGTCCCGTTCTGCGCTTGGGTGTACCGTTTCCCTGGGTGAAACTCAAACCTGGCGGGTAATATTGCTGCTACTTCCTCCCAAATCGCAACAGAGGCCTTGGATCCCTCCAGAAGACCCAAACAGGCAGCAGCGAGTCAGCCTCTCTGTTGTCTCTGATGGATGCTTCCTGGGGAGTCCAGCTCTGTTTCCCCAGCAGGCATGGTGGCAGAAGAGGATGGGCCTCCTCATCCTCACCACTACCTAAGAGCAACAGGAGAGGTCTGCTGGCTCGTGGCAGGGCAGGCACACGCTCTGCCCACTGTCGGAGGGACAGCAAGAGCAGGACCAGCACAGCTAGATGGGCTCAAGGCTGCATGTCACAGTCCTAGAGCGCTGCCTAAACTCTGAACTCACTCCCCGCTCCTGGGAGGAGTCACCATTTGTTTCTACCCTGTGGCAGCAATGAAGGTTTGAAGTTACAAAACTACTGGCAGAAGCACCAACAGCGTTAAGTGTCCAAGGACTGTTTATTTTTCCAGATGACTCAGTACCCCCTTCTTTGCTCAGAATTATTCCTCGGCACATTAAGATGTGTCACAAGCTAAGAAACTTTGTATGATTGATTATTTGGTATGAAGCATCCTGTTAGGAGCTGAGTAAACAAGGGGGATGCTTCAAATTAGCAGGAAGGTTCAGGGTGGAGGGAAGAGAAGAATGCATCTGTGGAATGGAGTACAGCATGTGAGGGTGAAAGCAGGTTCATGAACAGTGAATCACATCTTCAGCTATTGTAACATCCCAGCTTCCCTTCCAGAAATGAACAGCCAGTGATTTGGGGCTGTCTCCAGGTGCTCCTCAGCTGAACTCCAAAGGGCACAGAAGTCATTCACTTTGCCATGCTGGGGGCTGCCACACAAATGCTCCGAGTTGGTGCCAAAGTTGCAGAGCTGCTATAAAGCGATGACAGCCATCGGCCCCAGCACACCCGGCACCCCTCTCCATCCTGGCGCGGATGAATTTGCAGGAATTCCCAGAAGTCTGCTGTCGGTACTGCCCAGCTGATAGAGGAGTGCACCCTACAATAGCGGACGGACAAAACACCACTGCTGCTGAGGACTTAGTCACTAATACACTCCTGAGCAAGGAATTATCTTGGAAGGGACTCCTGGAGGTCACCTAGTTGAATCTCCTGCTCAAGCAGGATTAATTTCCAGGTTGTTCATGCCAGGCAAGAGCAGTATTTAAACAGACACTATCCTAAAATGAAAGGCCCAACACAAAGACAACTACTGATACAGCGTAGGCCACACATAGCTGCACCAAAGCAGCGATAAACAAACACGCAGAGCAACCTCCCTCCCAGCTCCTACCCTGCTGCCCCTAAGTTCTATCAGTGGCTCTATCTCATGGTTACAAAGACTCGTTTCCTAAAATCACAATTGTAGAGATGCTTCACTTCCCTCCACTCTATGTATCAGTTAAAAGTTAGCACAGACCTCAGACTGAGTTCAAAGAAAGATTCAGAAAGGGTGAAGGAGTCTGGTAATCAAATACTCAGTCAAATGACCCAATTTCTACTTCACTGAATAAGTCTGAGCATGCAATAAGCTACTGCAGCAAACACTCCTTTCTCAAGGGCCCTTCAGCCATACCCCATTCAGTGCAACAGACATCAAATTCCAACACCGCACAACAAAGCAACTCTTCACCCGCTAGAAACCTCCGCAAGTTATTTACCCACCGCACCATTTTCAAGTGCCATACTAAAGTTACCACCTTCACGATTTTCCCTTAAGATTAAGCAACCAACTTATATTTACTGCAATCTTGAGTGGTATTTGAATGGAGTAGTTATGGAAAATTTCATCCCAGCTAACAGAAGCAGGCCACATGCAGTATTTTCATCAAAAGCACACAAACACGCAAGTAGACCACCTCAAGGAGCTGATACAAAGCAAGGACATCTTCCAGATAAGGACAGGATTACACACTCACTTTGAACCAACATCAGGACACACAGTACCAAGAAAGGAAGCCCTGTGTTCCCCCCAACACACATTTCCATCCCTTATGCTGGCTCTAGCATTCACATAAATCAGTCACAGTTTTCAGCTACATCACTTCCCCAATCCAGCTCATCCTGCGGCCGCGTGCTGGTGTGAGGGAACGTGGCAAAATGCAGGACTGGGACTTCTCCTTTCACTGCAAGCCCAGACTTACATTGTGACGGTACCTCCAGAGAAACACCGGGAGATTTGGACAGGAAAAGCGTCCCTTTCATTTCAGCAAAAACACTGATGAGCTTCACCAGCATGGTCTCTGAATCCACACTATCAACGCAGCCATTGAGCATGAAAAGGTCTGCGTCTGAACGCTCAAGAGGCCAGTGCAATGGCTCTGACCAGGTTTCTACCGGTGGCGTGTATCCTAAAAACCAGTCAGGGTGCCATTCTCATTCTGCCTGCATCCCAGAGTAAACGTACTTTTAAGCAGTGCTGTTACCTAGCAATCCACTATTCCTTTCCTTTTTAATCACAAGGTTTGGAGGTGACACCTCTTCCCTATATTCTCAAGAGCTGTAGCTCCACAACCATTCAGCTATTTCTTTTCCTTCTTTCTGCTAGTAACTCATCCACACAAAGAGGCCCCAGGGAAAACCAAAGGATGCTGCAAAGCAAATGCTGAGGCCTGCTACCCACAGCCTGCTGTCAACCATACAAAATAAAACAGGGAAAAATATTCTTCACTTTAATAGTAGGAACCTGATCTGCACAAACAGTGGGGGCCAACATCCCCTTTATTCTTCTAAGAGACCAAAATAGCCTTGCTCCGGGAACCACAAAGGTTTGAACTGCATCTGTCATCCATCATTAAAACGCAGGAAATAAATCCAAGACAATATGCACGATGCAAATACCTAAACCCCTACTCTGCCACGGCAGGTTTATTTATAGACTGTCTGCCAGGGTAAGCTACAAGAGCCAATCCTGAGCTACAGGACTCAATCTATTCACAGCTCTCCTCATAAAGGAAACGATGTGATTAAGGGCTTGTGTGTGTTAAAAATACAAGATATTCATTACCAAGCCATAATTGGTTCTACATTAATGACAGCCAGAAAGGCCAGGATTCACAAAGAGGAATTAAGTCTTTTCGAAGTCCGTTTATGAAGAGGATTAGCTATTAAACAGGACATTTATTGTTCCAAGTTACCAACAGAAACTCATTACAGGTACATCTGTTAACAACTTTGAAGCAAAACACACTAACCTCATTTTCCAGATCACAATCAGGAAACGCAGATAAAAAAAGAGCTGAATATCTTTAATGGAAACCTTATTTTTGCCATTTTAAGTATTCAGAACCCAGCTCTAAGGTATTCAT